CCCTTGTCTGGTTGCTTTAAGATGTCTCGCTGTCCTCTGACAATGCATAGAGCCCAGTCTGAAGATGTCTGTCCTTTCTTGGCGGGGTCTGTGCTGTCTTGTTGCCTCGATGGCTGATTGCACTGTACTGTCCAGTTCCTTTGTTTAATTACAGTCGGCTGTCTCACTTCCTTTTCATGACTGAGGAATCTTACTGCCCTCTATGATCACACTGTGCTGTCTCAGAGCTTAATATAATTACACTTTGTTGTCTTAAATCTCCATATGATTGTGCTTTGCTGTCTCACCGCTTTGTACAATTACATTGTGATGTCTCTTTGCTATGTATGATTGCTCTGTGCTGTCTCTCTATGTACGATTGCAGTGTGCTGTCTCTCTATGTATGATTGCACTGTGCTATCTCTCAGCTATGTACGATTGCACTGTGCTATCTCTCAGCTATGTATGATTGTACTGTGCTGTCTCTTTGCTATGTATGATTGACCTGTGCGGTCTCTCTATGTACGATTGCGCTGTGCTGTCTCTCTATGTATGATTGCACTGTGCTATCTCTCTGCTATGTATGATTGACCTGTGCTGTCTCTCTATGTACGATTGTGCTGTGCTGTCTCTCTATGTATGATTGCACTGTGCTATCTCTCAGCTATGTATGATTGCACTGTGCTGTCTCTCTGCTATGTACTATTGCACTGTGCTGTCTCTCTGCTATGTACTATTGCACTGTGCTGTCTCTCTATGTATGATTGCACTGTGCTGTCTCTCTATGTATGATTGCGCTGTGCTGTCTCTCTATGTATGATTGCGCTGTGCGGTTGCTCTGCTATGTATGATCGTATTGTTGCGTCTCTCTACATACAATTGCACTGTGCTGTCTCTCTGATATGTATGATTGCGTTCTGCTGTCTCTCTATGTATGATTGCACTGTGCTGTCTCTCTGCTACAGTATGTATGATTGTATTGTGCCATCTCCCTATGTATGATTGCACTGTGCTGTCTTTCTGCTATGTATAATTGTGCGGTACTCTGTCTCTGCTGTGTATAATTGCACTGTGTTGTGTATGGGTGTGTCGTGCTGTCTCTTGGCTATGTATGATTGCATTGTGCTGTCTCTTTGCTGGGTATGATTGCACTGTGCTGCCTCACTGCTATGTATGATTGCACTGTGCTGCCTCACTGCTATGTATGATTGCACTGTGCTATCTCATGGTTTTGTATGAATGCACTGTGCTGGCTTGTATGATTGCACTGTCTCCCTCTGTTACTGTAATGTTTTAGTGTGGACTACCTACGTGTGATACTATTTGGTGCCTCACTCAGTGTTTCTTTTCCCACATTTGACTTTTTGGTTTGTGCTTCCTTATGGCCATTCCTACATCCATTGTGATCCCTCAGCATATCCGTTTCTCACCAGTCTACACCATCCTTGCTGTTTAGGAATCTACAGTCACAACAAACCTCGCGTATTGCGTAAGGTATCAGGCCAGCCAGCCTCTCCTGTTCTTCAATAGAAGATATGAGCACGTTGTCACCACCCACCATACTGCTATAGGCCACATTCAACCAGCCAGGAGGAATCAGTTTTTGTTCTATAAATGCCACTAATAGAAACACAAGAACCCCTCAATCTGTAGTCTCTGAATCCTCTGACATATTCATTCAGGGGAAATGGCTTGAATAATATTATTTTATCCATTGGAAAACCAGACATTATTATTATTATTATAATACAGGATTTATATAGCGCCGCACTTTACAATATGAGGAAGACATTACAATCACAATACAATTCAAGACAAGATGGTAAGGAGGGCCCTACCCCTGAGGGCTTACAATCTAAAAGACATCACCCCCGTTTCCGGCCTCTACATTCCCCTTTTTCCCTCTTCTATTATTTATTGTATTCATTTTTTCCTTCTTATGCAGCATACGTATTTTTTATAGCGTTTTCCAACTGCACTACAGTATTCTGCAACCTAACCTCAACTGTCTTTTTCCAGCACATGTTTAACTTTCTTTTTTACTTCTCCTGAGATTATTTTATCACATGATATACAGTACGCTTATTGTTTGTGCTGTTTTATGTCTATTTTGCAAACCGTATTGGTCTTAAATTGTCACGACCCTTGAAGGACCACACAAATAAATGTCCCTACAATAGTCAAACACACTTTGTAAGGACAGTCAGGTGGAAGCCAGTTTATCTACCACTACCTGTGTGGGAGAAAAGTAGGGACAGGATAACATAGACACCGGCACTCCAAGTAATGAATCAATGGCGTCTGTTTATTGACGCATGACACATAGCACAATGCATCAAAAAGCAACGTTTCGGGGTCTCACAAGAACCCCTTCATCCCCTTCATTTTGCCTGAAGAAGGGGATCTTGTGAGACCTCGAAACGTTGCTTTTTGATGCATTGTGCTATGTGTCATGCGTCAATAAACAGACGCCATTGATTCATTACTTGGAGTGCCGGTGTCTATGTTTTCCTGTGATTATAGACGGTTGCCATCCGTCGACTTCCGCAGCACCCGTTTTTTATAAGGAACAGCGGTTTTGAGTGCGATGGGTTCATGGACTGTATGGAGAAAAGTAGGGAACGCAGAGAACAACTTGCACAGCATATGTGAAAAGGCTTTATGCATATAGGGTCACTGAAAGGGTTAAACCCAAGTCCCCAGAGCTGCAAGCTACAACTGCTATCCAAGTAACTCAATTTTTTTTGTATTACATGTATTGTTCTTTCTTTGTTGTAGTGTTTCACTTACTCTAACATTTGTAATTTTTCTAGACTATCTGCTGCTTTTCCTTAAATGTTTTTATTTCTTCCCCAGGAGCTTACAAAACAAAGGCATACTGAATTGTCTCCTGCACAAAATGCCTCCTTGGCAGACACTGGCCACTGCGTCTGGACATTAGGCCAGAGCTGCGTCCAGGATCACGCTTTATAACTGGATCCCACAGCCAGGACGTGATGGAAGTCCCCGACTGGAAGTTCCATCTACGGGAGCGGAAAAAAAGAGAAGAGGAAGAGGTGAAGAGGAGAGACAGGGAAGAGGACGATCGGCTTGCTAAGATGCCTGCCTGGAAAAGAGAGATCATCCTACGACGGAAAGCCAAAGCTGAGGCATCAGTGTTGGAGAATAAAGTTGAAGTGGAAGGTGGGGAACAGGAGGAGAGAGAGAAGACAGCTTTCATAGAGGAGGAGGAAAAAGAGAGTCGGGTCCTAAGGGAAAACATTGGGCCGGTTCAGCAAAATCCGTTTATCCAACAGGAGAAGCAGAGGAGGATCCCAGAGTACTCCTGCACAAAGTCCAAGCCTACCACAGAGCAACTAGTCCACCGCACTGCAAAGACAGAAGACATAGTCAGAGATCCTCAGCTTGCTAATGAGGTGAAGGACCAAGAAGTTCGGTCAGAAGACCACCACCCTCTTTCTGTAGAGAGTAAGGGAAGGGTAAGCAGGTTGCTTTGCCGTTTTGGAGGCTCAAGGACAGAAGATGAAAACAACGATCCTTGTTTGCAGTGGATAAATGGAGAGGGAGGTTCACCATCCAAGATACAGTCGCCCAGTCCTGTTGTATTAACTGACTATGAGACCCAGGCCTCTACTGCTTTTGCCAGCCCTGTTCTTTCTTCTCCTTCCTGTCACCGAGCTGTCACGGGAAGTCAGACTTTAACTCAGGAAACCACTCTCTCCTCCCACGTCTCCCCTTCCTCTTCCTGCATTGACTCTGAGCCAGCTGAGCTCTCGCCCTCTGTGGCCCCCACGGCCATGAGTGCCTTCAGCAACAGGCCTAGCATGACAGAAGAAGCCAGGTCTTTTCCTTTCCAGCTACGCCCAGCATCTGCCAGCTCTCCCAGACAGTTCAAACAGACTACCCAGGTTTCACCAGCCCAAACAAGGCCAGAAACCTTGAAACCCAGTCCTGAGAAACCAGAGGAAGATGGAGAAAGGGGTCTCAGTCCATCCAGGGCTCCTGCCAACCTCCAGACCTTCAAAAGAGCTCCAGTGGATAGCCAAGCCATGCAGAGGAGGAAAGGCAACACCATTACCGTCAACCCACGTAAAGCTCCCATCTGTGAGAACGGTGTCGCAGCCACAGAGACTAAGACTCTGACGGCTAAGCCAGACTTAGGCAAGAAGCGGTATCCAACAGTGGATGAGATCAAAGTGATTGGTGGCTACCTGGCTTTGTCCAAGTCCTGCCTGGCTAAAAACACCCGGGACAAGAAAAAGGTAAGACCACGATTTTCTTCATTATATTTATCATTATCGTTGCAGGATTTGCTTCCATCTTCTGTATTCATGTAATAATATTTGAGTCTATGCCTCTCTCTTCCTGTATGTGCCTTCACTGCATTGCATTCTTTGTCCTTCATGCATCTTGCTCTTAAAGATTTTAAACACCTGCAGACTTCTTAATCAGGAAACTGGAAGCAAAGTAACCCGGAACAACCAATCAGACTTCACTTTATTTAATCAAATCGTTAAAGAAGAGTATGGATTGTTTGCTCTTGGTTCGTGCAAATATTTTAAGTCCACCTTATGCCCCATATAAACTGTCTGTGGTAAGCATGGTTTCCTTTGTCGGCAATGAGACTCTCTTACTGGGCGGCAATTCTGCACCGGCTTAAATGCAGCATAAGGTGACACCAATAGCCACACCAGGCTTCTGCAGAAATCATGTAGGAGTCAGCAGGACTATATATCGGGAAAGGGAACTTGTCCTTTTACTGACAGCAAAAGAAGAAGAACTAAAAAAAAAAAAAACTGGCGCCACCAGTAATTTTACTAGACACATTGCGTACATGTTTTGGGGGTTTTGTGCAGCACTAGCACGCCTTCAGTGCATCTAGCTGTACTCACTGGGGTGATCTATTCACTGAACACATCCAGACCCTGGAAGAAGAAAAATAAATGCTTTCTGCAAATACACTGCAACTGTTGTTGCTGAAAAGACCTGCAGGGTTATTCATAAAAGGGCGAAGGGTTTGGGGGAGGCAGGAGAAGTGAAATATCTAGGACAGGGGTAGCCAATCTCCGGCCCTCCACCTGTGGAGAAATTACAAATCCCATGATGCATCTCTCTCCGGGAGTCGTGGCTGTGAGAATCTTGCAATGCCTCATGGGATTTGTAGTTCCACCACAGCTGGAGGGCCGGAGTTTGGCTACCCCTGCTATAGGACAACATAGGTGAACTGGAAAGCGAGCTGAATTAGGGAATTTTTCCAAAACAGCTATGTTGTCCTAGATTGCTCACTTCTCCTTCCTTCTCCAAACCCTTCACCCTTTTGTGAATAACCCTGCTAGAAGATATGTCTCACTGCATTAAAAAAACATAGTCACCACCCCATGCCTAAGCAGATGACCATGCTGAGAAACAGTACTTTCATACCTATTGAAACTTTCTTTATTTTTGGACTTTCTACTCCCCACTGTCCCAAAAATTGACTTTAGATGTTTAAGCACCTCCCACACTTCCAGGAGGCTGTGTGGTCCTCAGAGACCCAGTGGCTCCCCCTTCCCGGCCCTGATGTCAGCTAAGGTCCTGGCAGTGGTGGGGGATGCCTTGTGCCATCCTCTACTCAGCATGTTTATCTAATTAGACATGGGCTGGTGACAGGGTCTCCTTACATCTACCTTGTATTTGACACCTGGCACATGCGTTTGCCATGACCATTGTATGCATGGCCAAATGCCATTTTCTTTTTTTGTTTTTTTTGGAAATGTATTGTAGGCTTACAAATCAGCCGTGTCCTATTTATCCAGCTTTCCTGTATCTGCACATAGTCATAATAAATCATGTTTCCTGATTTTTCCACCTTACATACCTCAGCATGTTATAGCATGCTAGGGCTGTACTGGCATTAATCAGCAATTGCGCAATCTGTTCAGCTGATGATGATTATAAAACACCTGGAAATGTAAGGAAATCTATACACAGGTAGACTGCCATTGGATTTGAGCTTCTCCTGTGATGAGAATTGGGCAGCATACGTCCTATTCTCTAGGTAAAGGACCATGTCTCACCCACTCACGCAGAAGTGCTCATTGCAGCAAACAAAGATTTTCCAGCTAGTCGATGAGGACACCAAAGCTTCTCTTTTCTATGCAGAAGAGGGAAGGAAGTGTTAAAGGGGAAACATAGTATTGTCAATGATTGCATATTTAAAGTTATTATCATTGCAAAGTAATTTTAATATGACTTGCATCTTCTCGTGCTTACTCATCCATATCTTTATTGTTGTAAGTGTGGAGATTTGTAGATTCCTTGCCACTCATTTCTCTTCTGTTGCAGTCAAATAAAATAGCCACAGGTGGGCTGGTATGGAGGGCCATGGGCATCACCCCGCCGC